CAGCAAAGACCAAAAATTTTATGAGCGTGGAATTATGCTACTACCAGAAGGATGGCAAAAGGTGTTGGACCAGAACGGTCAATATATAATTTAATAAAGTATTTGTTTATTATATGAAAACTGTATTTCATTTCCACAAAAAAAAACGAAATGACTTTCGGAACAACCCTATAATATTCTGTTATTCTTGTATAATTTATTGAGATTATAATGTAGCAAATATAAGTTTGATGTTTTAGTGCAATATTTTTAAGTACTTACTTAACAATTTCAGTTAGTCCTGTTTCACTGTTTGATGGTTTCAGAGAAAATAACCGTTTTTCGTTAAGAAGAACGTTTAATCGTTTAATCTAAATTAGATGATGATTTATCAAGACTGTCTATGACGTGCTGATGAGATCCTATAAGACGGGAATCACGAAACACATCTAGTTTCTCAAAATTACTGACTAAGGACTTATATGTTCTTATCGATTTAGTTTACGTGTCTATCACGTATGTAATCTTCGTCGTCGATTCAGTTGGACAAGTATAGATACCTTAGTAACCTTGCATAGCATTTGAAATAATTCAGTTAGCAACAAATATCAGTAAATGTGATATACTGCCGTAATTCGATATTATCTTATGTGTACTTACTTAAATTAACATTTGGTTATCAAAATCGTGATTTTTTGACATATTTTATTAACAATTCTATCACAAAAACAGCCTAACGTAAGACACTACAAAATAAGAGCCAGCAGCCCCAACTTCCCTAAATAATAACATTCATTCATTCAGGGCGAATACTGAATTAGATCCTTCGCAAACAAAACATCAGACCTATTCTAACAAAGCAGCCAATAACGTACAGAATCATAAACTGCGCCCATGGCAACTTTAGAAACTAATCAAAGTAGATTAGAAAGAGGTTTTGGAGAAGCAACAGAAATGCCATTCCTGTGGTTGGAGAAGAAGGGTTACACAACTTCACATACTAATTAATGAACTTGAGATGAGCGGATAGACCACCCTTATTTCCCTCCACAGATGCCTTTCCTTCCTAAAGGCACCATCCCTTTTGTAAATGAAAACGCACTTAATAAGAAGAAGAGCTAAAATAAAACTACTGCAAAGTAGTAAAAAAAGTGTAGTATGAGATTCATTGCAAAATAATTTGGAATAGGCTTTTAAAATATCCATACAATGTAGAAATCTTCCCGAAGTGAGTTAGTTTTTAATATGAAATATTCTCAATTTTTACCCACTACACACTTCCTCACTTCCTCTTGTAGCTTAGTGGTCAAAGCATTGGCGCGTAAAGCCAAAGAGCCCGGGTTCGATTCCCGGCGGGGGTGTGACAACAGCAACAAATTTTTCCTCATTAATTTGAGGAAGTGTGTAGTGGGTAAAAATTGAGAATATTTCATATTAAAAATTTTAAAATATCGTTTCTGTCGTCACCCTTTTAATGCCTATTAAATTTCATATTTCATCGTTTTTGAATAGCTTCCGTGTTTGTATTTTTTTAAGCATTAAATGTTTTTTATTTCATGAAATTGAGTAAAAAATAGTGTTAATAACAATTTTACTTCAACAGAATGAGGACGGCGTGTTTTTTCTTAACTTTCATTACGAACGAACCTAAACGGCGTTTAAAACAAAAAAGGGATCAGAACAGGTTAGACAGCACGTTTTTGTCAACATTCTAGGTAGTTCCAACAGAATGTACCATGGCAATTGACGTAACCTTGTGTTGGTTAAGGAGATTAATAAATACCTTCAGACGCCATCCGCGAAAGTTTGTCACTAATAATGGATTGACGCAAATAGCTACGTCGATTCCCTTAATTAAAAGAACCTTACTAAATATCAATGAACCAACTTTGTAAAATTCGTACAGATGGCGTTTACTCCGGTGTTTGCGGTTGTTTGTGATTAAGCATGTTTTACCATCAAATTTAACACTTTTTCAGACATTTCGAAATCATATAGACTTTCACCTGTCAATCAATAAAAATTAGTAATTTCAATTCTAGTACAATATGCATGGATAGTTATTGTTACTTTCACTTTTATGCCGGTGTGCGTAAAATTAAAAAGTTGTAACACGGACATAAGGTCGGTATGATAAACCCATATGGTTTACTGAACATTCAATGCCTTAATAATGATTATTCTTTACGAATTCTAGACACAATTGAATTCTGGGCGAATGACAGTTGACAACAGCGGACATGGTGTTTCATATTTTCGTTAGGTACAATAAATTAACATAGAGTAAGATCCCAGAGCCGCCGGATATTACTTATTTTCTAAGTAAGAAAATGGGTGGGAAGGAGTACTATTACTATTTACTTTCGGTAATTGTCCAGAATTGTGGCTCCAGACCAAAATAACTCCAAAAATTTTTTTCATCCATTTCCGGTAATTCTACATAATAGAATTAGATATTAGAAGGTGGAGGGGGACAGTTTTTTATGACTTCATAAATTAAAAACAAAACTGTTTTGAATGATAATTTTTCAAAATTGCCCTAATTCTGGATAATTACCTGCATTGGTGACGTCATTTCTTGGTTAGGTAAATTTATGACAGATTGGAGTTTATTCAATGCCCCTGCTCACCGGAGACGGGATGATATGTTGGAATATTTTATTCACAGAAAGTATTAGTTTTATTCATTTCCTAGTACAATATGGGAATTTCGTACAATTCTTAGAATTAGGGCTCCAGACCAAAATCGCTCCAAAACTTTTTTAATTGATTTCTGATCAAATCTATAAGCTCAATGATTATATTTGAGGTGATGGAGACACATTTTTTTTATTACAGCATAAATCATAAGGTATATGGTGTAAATATAGCTATTTTTGCTTTTAACATTAATAAAATAAATTATTACAGTGACAATCGTGACATAAGGGCATTAAATAAATTATAATAATATACCTTGAGA